ACGCATGCAGAATAAAAACTAATTAAACCGTTTGTCCCAACAACCGATACTGTCGATCAGCGTCCTAATGTATCTCTATTAGCGATCTTTGCGGAACTAACATCAACCTTCTTTGTCCACGTTCTTAACTGAAATTTTTTTTTTCAAGTTCTTCTGAAAGGTATAGACAAGCAACAGAGAGAAACAGGGAATAAAAAGTGTGAAGCGAAAAAAATAGCAAGCCATGATATCATCCCAGTGCATCACCTGGTTCGCTGTAGTCCTTACCATGTCTGTTGCTATAAGTAACAGTGAACCTTACCTATCAATCGTTGTTTTTATTAAAAAAACGCAGTCTTCCCACTCGTGCCAAATTGTACCTAGTCATAAAGCTGACCATAGTTGATATGTTTGTCGGAGGATTTTCTCACTCTTCTACGTATACCCTACTTATGCAACATTGTGAAATTTCCGCACGTTACCCTGGAACTGACATTAACAACTGGCTTTCTCTTCGTCTGGTTTCCTCTGACCTCTCTTACAAACATTGTAATGATTTCATTGGAACAGATGCATGCAACAATTCGTCCCTATACAGCTCTTTTGCATCGCCTCATTAAAAAGTGTGAGTCTACGGGGTAACAATTGCTGCTTTTGTCTGGGTTTTACCTGCAATGTTTATTACACTAATCCTTAAGAATCGAATGTTTAACCAAATTCCTATATTTAGCACATCTTGTGGACCTTCAGTCTTTTCATGTGGTAGCTTGAGGCACCCAACGACTGGTTTCTGTGAAATAGCTGTTCGAAGAAGCAAATATTATCTAGAGATTTCTATAGCTCGAAAAAAGTTAAAAGTTCATGCGATGGATGAATGTATCATTCATCTCAGTTTTTTGAAGTTTTCAGTCTATTAACTTCTCTGATTGAAGTTGGGAATGGCTTTTCACTTTTCACTTGTCTTCCCACATTTGGACATCATTCTCAAAAATGGACTACTTATAATAAATTTTGGGCTTTAAAATTAGTAACGGAAAGATGTATATCGGAAAATGTTGAGTTTTCTGTATATTAAATAGCATCAAAGATTTTCGAAGAAGAACTAGCGTGTTAATAAATTCGCATCGGCTGAAGAAGCCCAGGGATGACCAAACAGATACAAATTTTATAGAGTTTCATAGAACGCATTTTCAGAGCAGCTTTTTAAAACAACAATCTTAAAGATATCCTCAAATGGTTTGAGTAAATTTTGGAGAGAGGCGGCGTCGGATATGGTGGGCGGGTTGTAGAGCGATGTTTCTCTCCTCCTCACTATAATATATACTTACCTAAAAATACTTGCAATGGAAAATGTTAAAATAAAAGGATTGTCCGAGCTAAGCCGCGACTTAAGGCCCTCTTCAGTCATATTTTCAGGGAAATTTCAGCTCCTTTAACCGAGTGAAATTGTTCACCGCTGACTAACAGTTTGCATGAAACATTTAATTTTTTCCGGTCTCACTATGGACATTCGATTGTTTTAGAAGGTTTAATTGAAGTGATATGAGGGATAGTCACATTTTCATTTTGGTGATCAATTACTCCCTACATACCAAAGAGACCTTCAATATTTTTAAAGAGCGAAATAAAAATGTTAAAAAAGTATTAATGTAATAGATTCAAATACAATTTTAGCCACAGTTAGATTGTTAGTTAGTTAGTAGTACCCTTTGCATTTTACCGCGAACATTTTTTGCTCCTGATGTAATAACATATGTTTAGCTGCATATATCTAGCCGGATTTTTGAAAACGTTATCGTCAAATGGACCTTTTCCGTCCAACAATTTTTTTCGGCCAAAAACTATATCCAAAGTAGCTCATTATAAAAACTAAGAGTGCAACCATTGCTTTTTTTTCTTCTCCTCCTTTCCTGATCTCCTCCGTCGCTCTTTCTTTTTCTCCTTTTCTTTTCCTTCGTTACTGTGATTTTGGAGCCGTTCTCGGGCGTAAGAAACCTGCCTTTTGACGCCTTTTCAGTCAAATGACTGCAAATTTCGTTAGGTTGGTTTTCCAAAAATCAGTTAGATATACTATAATATATTTTATCAGCAGATGTAGAGCTATTTTATTTGGAAATGCTGTAAATAAACCACCACGACCATAATAATAATAATAATATTTATTATTATCATACTCAGGTGAACGAGCGCTGACGTTAATTAGTTTTAAAAATATTCAGCTAAAACGACTCGAATTTAATGCCCTCAGCTTTTAGTCAACCAATTTATCCTAATCTCCCCTCAAACGTCACTGATATTTTTTCCACAGGTGAAAACAAGGGTTTTCACTTCAGCTTTTGTGAAGGCAATTTGAAAAACTGCAAGTTAAAGGTGAGCTTCCTAATTCGTCGAATTATTATTCATGTATCTTCGTTCATTACTGTTTGTTCACCTCCTACTTTTCTTTTCTACGTAATCAAACTTTATTCAATTCAATTCTTTCTAAAGGTAGACGAACAACAGACGAGAACGGGTAAAAGTG